TCCCCTGATATTTCAATTCACCTCCTCATTATTTATTTTGACCGCTGCATCAGCCTTCTAACTTCTCTGCATCCTGTTTTGTCCTCTTCACATCCATTCTCCATACACAATATAGACAACTGTTTAATTTTTTTTTTTTTTTTTTGGTGAGACGGAGTCTTTCTCTGTTGTCCAGGCTGGAGTGCAGTGGTGTGATCTCGGCTCACTGCAACCTCAGCCTCCCAGGGTTCAGGTGATTCTCCCACCTCAGCTTCCTGATTAGCTGGGATTACAGGCATGCGCCACCACGCCCAGCTAATTTTTGTATTTTTAGTAGAGACGGGTTTCAGGGTTTCAACATGTTGGCCAGGCTGGTCTCAAACTCCTGAGCTCAGGTGATCCACCTGCCTCAGCCTCCAAAGTGCTGGGATTACAGGTGTGAGCCACTGTGCCCAGCCGAGAATGTAATTATAAGGAATTTGATTGCAAGCTTCAGACTATCTCGAAGTGTCAGGATTTTGAACTCAGGGCCCAGGGAGCCTAGAGCTCAGCCCTGGGATTGAGTAAATGGGTGGCAGGGAAGCTGGCACTAGTCAGGCCCCAGGGCTTTCCTTTAGGAAACTAGTATGTTTGGAAGATGAGAGTCTATCCTCTAAAAAAGGAGGAATAGAGGAGGGCAGGTAGCTGATAAGCCGTTCATAGTACCTCAAAAAAGAATATAGTCAAGCCATGAATGGAATCAACCACTGGAAAGAAGTGGCAACAATGAATGACGCCCCATACTGGAGTCGGGCTTTAGGATCTCTTTAACTACTTCAGAAGTAGTCCTAAGCAGCTTTCCAGCTGGAGCTAACTCTGGTAGTGAAAGAGAGGGTTTGGGACCTTGGGCAAGTAAATCACTTCCTCTCTCAGGGCCTCTGTTTCTTCACCTGTAAAATGTGAGGTTGAATCATGACAACTCCTAGAACCATTCTAGCTCACAAGATAGTGCCTGGATTACTAAATCTTTAGTGTTTTCCCAGAGAAGGGAAGAACTCAGGTGGGAGTAGGTTCTCCTTTTGTCCCTGCTTTTTTGGCCAAACCAACCCCAGAGAAGGTGGCCCTCAGACCATGAGCTCTTAGCCTAACAAAGCCTCTATTGACACTGAGGAGGCCGGTTATGTTGAATAGGCCAGGCCTCACATGCTTAGCATGTTAATTGTTCCTTCTGCTACTGGCCATTCATGTGGGAATCACAAAGACCTGGAATTTATCTCCCTTTAACTCTTCTACAGCTGCCCTGTAGTACTGCCTCCTGAGACTTTTTACATAAGTGATTTAAAACTTACCCCTCGAAACCCCCACGCTATTTTACCTTTCAGCTCCACTCAGCCCACTTGCCTCTGTTGTTGCTCCCTTCTGGTGAGGCCTCTGATCTGCAGTGGGCTGACAGGAGTTACAAATAACCCACAGGTAAACAGGCTCTGAGTGGAGCCTCCCCTGGATAGCGCACTTGGCCTCTGTGAAAGCTGGCTGGAGCCTCAGAGGCCCTCTTTCCTTGCTTCTGGATTATCTACTAGATTGGGATAGTTTGGGTGCCAGAAGTGCAATTTCTGGGAAATTGGGAGAATCTTAAACTATTTTTATTAAATTATTAATAGCAATTTCAGACCCCATAGCCTTTGTTAGCAGTTTTCTTTTCTGATTTCCTTTCTTTCCACTGATAGCTTTAGGTCCTAGGAAACTGGACAGGAGATTGGAGTCACAGGCAGCAGGAAACATGGCAGGGGACCCCCCTGCCTGGTGTCATGTGGCCAGTGTACTGCTGCTTGAGGTTCCAGCCTCAGTCAGACTTACTACTGCCTCTTCCTCTCGTGTATTCCCCCCCTCCTCAGACACAATGGGAACATCCTTTTGGACGCAGAAGGCCACATCATCCACATCGACTTTGGCTTCATCCTCTCCAGCTCACCCCGAAATCTGGGCTTTGAGACGTCAGCCTTTAAGCTGACCACAGAGTTTGTGGATGTGAGTCAAGAAGGAGAGGTGCCTCTGGGGTCATTGTATTGTTTCTCTGTCATGGGAGGGGGAGCTCATGGGCTCCCTGCAAATTAGGGATGAACAGAACAGGCAGTAATTAGGGGTGAGGCAGGAGTTCCTGGGAGCTTCCTGCCTGATAAGGGGGGAAATAACAGGGCCCCAAGAGGAAGAGGAGTTCTGGTAGGCCAGTGAGGACAGGGACCATCCCTGGTGTAAGTCCCCTTGTGCACACAACGCTTTCTTCCCTTTCCAGGTGATGGGCGGCCTGGATGGCGACATGTTCAACTACTATAAGATGCTGATGCTGCAAGGGCTGATTGCTGCTCGGAAACACATGGACAAGGTGGTGCAGATCGTGGAGATCATGCAGCAAGGTGGGGCTGGCGTGAGGTCAGGTGCCATAGTGCCTCAGGCTTCCCCTTTAAGTAGGAGCCCTGGAGCATAAGAAAGCTGATCCCACCCCAAGACTTGGGTTGAGGGAGGGGGGTTCCCAGAGGGTTTCTAGTTGTGGTCCAGTGCCTTGTTTCTCCTTTAGGACGTTCCTCCTGACCCTGGTAAGGCTAAGTCCAGGAGGTTGGGGAAGGGGATAGCAGCACCCGCCTCCTTGGCATCTTTAGGGAGAAAACAGGCTCATTTACAGCCTCCTGGTCCCTCCTCACCTCCCCACCCCTGTCCAGCTCTGAGTTTCTCAGTCTCCTTCCATCTCTCTTCCCCATTCCACTATGACCTCTGATTGCCGTCTTCTGCCACTGTTCAGCTCTGAGAAGTACTTCCCCTCTCATCATTATCTCCTTCCACTACAGTCTTGCCATCTAGTGTTTTGCTCAGGACCCCCTTCTGTCCTCATCCCCCCCTCAAGGCTCCAGGTGTATACCAGGTCTGAGCTGCCAGTCTCCCCCCTCCCCATTCCTGACCCTACCCCACAGGTTGTCGCCGTTGCTCAGGATCATCCCCATCTGGCCCCATGATGACGGTGGCCCAGGTCATCTGTGAGTGTCAGACGTAGCATAGGCAGAGGTCTGCAACCAGATAAGTGCCCAGCTCAGGGCCCACTCCCTTCAGCCTCCTCCCAGCCTGCCCTCTGGGCCCCTCCACCCTTACTGAGGGAGATGTGGTGTTGGTCCCCTTCCCTTCTCTGCCCCCATGCCCTCACCTACAGAAGGGCTTAGGTGTGGGATGATGAGGGGTCCTGTCGGTTCCTTCTCTCTGCCCAAGCAGAACTGTACCCACACCATCAAGGACCTGAGGTGGGAGGGAAAGGGCACTTCAGATGCCCCAGCTTTGTATTTGCTGTGGCTGGCACCACTGCCCCTCCCTCCTGTCCATCCATGACCCTGAACCCCCACTGCTTCCCCCAGGTTCTCAGCTTCCTTGCTTCCATGGCTCCAGCACCATTCGAAACCTCAAAGAGAGGTTCCACATGAGCATGACTGAGGAGCAGCTGCAGCTGCTGGTGGAGCAGATGGTGGATGGCAGTATGCGGTCTATCACCACCAAACTCTATGACGGCTTCCAGTACCTCACCAACGGCATCATGTGACATGCTCCTCAGCCCAGGAGTGCTGGCGGGGGGGTCCAGGGCACCCTCCCTAGAGGGCCCTTGTCTGAGAAACCCCAAACCAGGAAACCCCACCTACCCAACCATCCACCCAAGGGAAATGGAAGGCAAGAAACACGAAGGATCATGTGGTAACTGCGGGAGCTTGCCGGGGGGGTGGGAGAGCCAGCTGTGGGGTCCAGACTTGCTGGGGCTTCCCTGCCCCTCCTGCTCTGTGTCAGTATTACCACCGGACAGGCTCCAGGACTCACTGCCCTCCAGAAAACAGAGGCGACGAATGTGAGGGACGCCGGGGCCTTTCTTCTCCTTGTAGGGGTTTGAGAGGTTCTTTCCACAGACCATCCTCTTATTCCGTTCTGGGGCCCAGGAAGCGGGGAAGAGTAGGTTCTCGGTACTTAGGACTTGATCCTGTGGTTGGCCACTGGCCATGCTGCTGCCCAGCTCTACCCCTCCCAGGGACCGACCCCTGGCCCGAGCTCCCCTTGCTGGCGGGCGCTGCGTGGGCCCTGCACTTGCTGAGGTTCCCCATTATGGGCAAGGAAGGGAATTCCCACAGCCCTCCAGTGTTCTGAGGGTACTGGCCTAGCCATGGGGAATTCCCTACCCTGACTCCTTCCCCAAACCCAGGGAAAAGAGCTCTCAATTTTTTATTTTTAATTTTTGTTTGAAATAAAGTCCTTAGTTAGCCACTTGTGTCATTTCCAGGTTTTCTGGGGGGAAATTGGGGATGAGGTGTGAATGGATGCCTCAGTGTCCAAGATACAAAAGGCACCACACAGAAAGAGGTTTGCTTCTTCCCTGCCTGTCTTGGTCACCACCACCTCTTCCCTGAATTCCCTGAGAAGAAAGGGCCTTCCATGTTCTCTCACCCGCTTCAAGTCCACATTGTCCAAGTCACAGAAAAAGAAAGGCCTGAATGGAGATTAGACCAAAAACAGTTTTAATGGTCTGGTTTTCTCCCTAGTTCCCCCACTGTTAGTATTATTACTACAAGAATAAAGGATTCCTGAGAGCCTGTCCCCTCCTCTCCTGTGGCCCCCTTGACAGGACTCATCCCCACCAACCACCCCCCCTGGATTTCTGGGGAAAAAAAGAAGTGAAAGGCACTGCAGGGGTAGGGGGCTTGAGTGCCAGTGAGTTGGGGGGGAGGGGGCACTAGGGTAGGGCCTGGCCCAGAGGAGGAAATTTCCAGTCCATGCTTGAAGGAATTGTGGAGGGATGTGTCCATCCGTGACACCCCCATCAGTCCTTCCCTGAACCTGTCTAGCAGGAATACCTAAGTCCCATCCTACCAACCCCAGGCCCACACTGGGGGTTCTGCAGCAGGAGCATAATTAGTGTTGGGCTCAGAAAAGAGGAATGGAGGGTCGACTCTACTAGGACTCCAGGGCCAAACCCAAAGGGAGGTTGCAAATAACTAGAATAATCCTCAAAAGCTTTTCTTCAGGTTTGAGAGAGGAATTAACAAAATGTTAATGTCAATGAAACTCCCCAGCCAGGGGATCAGGCAGCAGCAGGGAAAACCAGGCTCCAAGAGGAAGGGGCTGGTCAGTCCCAGGCTTAGGGCCTAGTTATCCCCAATAGCCCCCTGCCGAGCCCTGATGAACGCCATGCCATGCGTGCGGAAGTGGGTCTTGAGGTTGAGAGGACTGTCGCAGCTCTTGCCACAGACCTTACAGGTCAGTGGGCCTCCAGAGGCAGGCAGGGGTGAGTCTCCACCATCGGGGTCAGACCTTGATGGAGGGGCCTCTTCCTCCCCATCCCCCAGCCCCAGGGCACTGGCTTTACCCACACCCCGTCTCTTCTTGTGGCTGATGAAACGGTGCCGGCTCAGGGAGCCAGGGGAGGCAAAGCACAAGCCACAGTCGAGGCACTGCTGGGCACCATCCTCCACCCTCAACCCCACCATGAGGCTCTGTTCTGTGGAGCCGCTGCTCCGGTAGCGCAGGGGGCCATGGCCTCCAGATCCAGGTCCGCCCCTGGGGGACTTGGCTGGCGGTGTCGTGCTGTCAGGCTCCTCACTGCAAGAGTCAGAAGACTGGCGGCGTTTCCGACCTGGCCCCTGAAGAAAAGTGGAAGAAACTGGGCCTTACCACCATCCCCACTGTCCTTGGCACCCCCACGCTCACTTCCTGAGGCCACAGTCTCTACCTTCCAGTTTCCCACTCAAAGCCCTAGCACAGCAGGCCGGGCCTCTGCCTACCTGGGCTCTGGCACTGGAACCCCGAGCCAAAGTGGTCCCCCGGCCAGGGGACTGGGCCCCAAGCTGCAAGCCATGCCGGACCTGGACATGTTTCTCCAGGATCAGGCGGCTGCTGAAGGTGCGTTTTCCCTCTGTGCAATACCTGAAATGGGAGAGGACAGGATGGCAGCAGGGGCACAGCCCAAAGGCCAAGGCCCTTGCTCCTGATGAGGGGGCTGCTGGAGCAGAGGGAGACCCCAACCATCAGGCCACTTAGACACGTCGCAGGTGCAAAGGTACTTTGGCATATGGGGAGAGTCATGTGCTGGGCAGGGAGAAAAAGCGGGGAGCAAGACTTACCTGCAGGGGTACACTCGCTTGATGCCCTCATGATTGACCCTGACATGACGCCTCAGGCTGGGGGCGGAGCAGAAGGAGCGCTCACAAAGGCGACAGGGAAACTTTTTCACTGACTAGGACAGCATGGGTAGATGTCAGAGCCAGGCTCCAGGACCCCGTCCCCACTGTGACACTGGCAGTCCCAGTGCTGCCCCCAGCCCATGGTACTCCCCTTGGGGCTCACTCACCTTGCCATGCTCCTTCTTCATGTGGGCCACATACTCGTCACGCTCAGGGAACCAGGAGTGACACAGGCCACAGGTCCAGCCTCCAGGCCCCCCACCCCCACCCTTGAGGCCTTTGCTCCCTAGTTCCCGCCGAGGCCGTTTGGCTGGACGGGGGGGCTCAGGGGAGCTGGGTACTTCCTCCTCTTCTGAAGATGAAGACGACTCCTCAGTAGCAGGGGCTGCCCCTCCCTGAGAAACAGCCAGCTCCTCAGGCTCAGTCTTGGGGGTCAGCAGGGCACCCCCGGACCCTTTCCCAGTAGTCTCCTCCAAGCGCCCAGACTGATGGGTGTTCTATGAGAGGAGACAAGGGAGGTTGCTGTTGTGGGGGAGGGCCTGGCTGTGCCAAAGCCCCCCACTTCTGAAGTATGTGGCCCCAGCCCCAGGTCAGTACAGCTAAGCACCCATCCCCCATCCCCCATCCCTCTGCTCCTGTACCTTGAGATGTTCCAGCATGGTCCTTTTTTGGGCAAAAAGCAGAGGACAAGACGGGCACTTAAAGACACTGACACGCTGGGGCAGCAAGTGCTGGTCGAAGTGTGAGGAGAGGAGGGGTTTGTGAGTGAAGACTGTGTCACACATGGCGCACTTGTAGATCAGCCTGAGGTGAGGACAATGCAGACATCAGGCAGGGAGGGGTGCAGCCCCTCCCCTCCTACACCCCACCAGCCCTGCCTCCCTGGCCCGGCCCGGCCCGGCCCTCCCCTGGGCCTCACTTGGCCTGCTGAGTTTGGAAGCTGGGATGCTGGGAGTAGAGGTGGGCATGGGCGCTGGGCCCAGACTTGAAGGCCATGGGGCAGATGGGGCACTTGTGGAAAACCTCGCAGTGCGACGTCTGGATGTGGGACTTGATGGAGTTCACACCCCCAAACACCACTGAACAGCTGGGGCACCTAGGGAGGAAGCAGGAGGCCCTGTGGTGAGGTGGGAGGCATCTCCATGCCCAACCTGGGACCACACATTTATTCTCTGGGACTGGGTAGACTACAAGAAGGAAATCAGTAGTGGAGCATGAGCAGGGTGGAGAAATGAGAGAGGTGCAGAGGCCATTCCCCAAGGGAGGCTGCCGAGGGAGAGCTGGAGCTCCAGAGGTGGCCCTGCTTCCCCCCATCTCCATGGGGGACGACGGGAAGGCAGGACATACTATCTCAGGGTTGTTTGCCAAAACAGGGCTGAGGGATACAGCGGGGATCTTGAAAGGCCATCTGAGGCTGAGGCTAGGACACACGAAACCCTACAGTTCTATGGAGGAAGGGTCCAAGGCACCTGTATCCCACACGACGAGAGACGTGCAGACAGGCCTCCCGGAGATGGGTCTGAAAATTGGCTTGCAAGAAGTTGCCCCCACACTCAGGACAGACGTGGGGGGGTCGATTCTTATGCATGCGCTGGTGGGCGCTGAAGCTGCAGCGATTGGGGAGCATCATGGGGCAGGTTGGGCACACCTGTCGAGTGGATTAAACAAGGAAAGTCAGTGAAGAGTGTCCTATTACTTCTAACCAAGCCCCCAACGCCTTCCTAGATCCTGTCCCCACAGAAGGGCTGTGAAAGGTGACTCACATTGCTGGTGGCCCCAGGGGCAGGGGGGCCGAGCTGCTGGAAGTGAGCTGCCATGCCAGCCTTGTCCCGGCACTGCTCCTTGCACTCCAGGCAGCGAAAGCACGTGTAAGCAGAAGTGGCAGGGGCAGCAGGCGGCTCAGTGGAGAGTGGCAGGACAGGGGCCTCAGCAGCAACTGTAGTAATGGCAGAGGAGGTGATGGCCCCCTCACCCTTGCCCAAGGCAGGCAAGACCAGAGGTCCAGAGATAGGTGGGACAGCTACAGGCAGCAGGGGTGTGATGTCCGGCTGCCCCACCATCTGGTCAAGGGCTACGGGCCTCATGACCAAATGTGAGCACTGCATAACGAGCCCCTTGTCCTTGTGTTCACGTGCATGCAGGAGCAGGCTGCACTTGTTGAAGAAGACCAGGCGGCGGGCGCAGTGGTTGCAGGTGACCTCGATGCGCATGCTCCGGCGGTCATAGTGCCGTGCCAGGCTCTTCTCCAACGAGAAGGCATCCCCACACTCCAGGCAGCGGTAGCCGGTGGGAGGCAGGGCCAGCCCAGCCTCAGCTGGTGGGCTCAGGTTTGGCCTATAGGCAGGGAGCAGGTTCTTGCTGTTGAGGATCTTGTTGAAGGCCTCCACCAGGCTGGACTGGGTCCGTGAGATCACTGTGCCGCCCCCTGTACTCGGCCCAGTAGTTGTCTTTGAAGGCTGCACCATCACCACTGAGGCACCATTCACCTTCTGTCCCCCAGTCCCCAGCCCTGCCCGCCCCTCAGCCTTAGGCAGGGCTTGGGGCACCAGGCCTAGCACATTCTTAGCAATCATCTTAGGGCTGGTGGCAGTCCCCCCAGGCAGCACCACAGCCTTGCGGGCCACACTGGCTGCCATCAGCATGGCAGTACTGGCATTCTGGATGGTGGCCACAGGCAGCACAGTGCCTTTCAGCCTTGTACCATCACCCAACTGTACGCTCACCACCTTTGGACCCTCAGAAGTAGGTGTTGCAGGGGACAGCTTCAAGAGGCTAGCTTCAGCCAAGAAGGCCCCCTCAGCCAAGGGGGCAGGTGGATCAGGATCTGAAGGGACCCGAGTTACAGTCCTTGTGATATTCCCGCAGGATGTTTTAATGGTCTTGATCCGCACCTTAAGAGGCCTAGAGGAGCTGGAGGCAGGGGAGTCATTGCTGTCCTCATCTGCAGCCTCAGCCCCACTAGAGGGACTCTGGGGACTTCCTGGGGAAGACTTGTCCACTGGCCCCTCATCATCTTCTTCTTTCAAGGGCTGACAGACGGGCAGTTTGGGGGAGGCAAGAGGGCTCTGGTGCCCTGGAGACTGCTTG